TTTTAGAACGTGAATCTGATAAAAAAAAAAAAGGAAGTAGATATTATAATATGGGATAAAGTGTCAATGATTTCAAAGAAAGCTTAAGAAAAAGTAGATAAAACGTTAAAAGATTTGTGTGATAATGATTTGCTTTTTGGAGGAAGACCTATATTGTAAGGCAGAAATTTCAGACAAATTTTATCGATTTTAAAAAATAGCTTTAGATCAGCTAGTATAAAAAAAACGATAAAATACTTTCATTTGTGAAAACATTTTTTTTTTTTGAAATAACTGTGATATCTGTATTAATAATAACACAATGAGAAATACAAAAAAAAGAAAGTGTTTTTTTGGAAAAAAAGACAATAGTATGCCCTCATTGCTTTGCTATGTTTTGGAAAAAAGAAAGATATAGATTTAATTATTGTCAAAATGGAAAAATAGTTTTCCCACCATTAAATTAATATAGTGAAAAATTTAAACAGTTGTTACTACATGACTCTATTTTTAGACATTTAAAACGATATTACAACAGTTTTTGTTTCGCTACTTTCAACGCAAACGTTTTTAGTAAAAGAAAAAAGGTTACATATAATTTTAAAATACAAGGACAAGTCTTTTACAATACACCAAATACGCTGAAATTTAATAATAAGAAAGTGACGTGTAGCCAAACTTATATTTACGATAATGATACTGCCGTAAAAAAAAGATTGGACAAAAATTTGAATTTAATTGAAAAATGTCTAGAAACTTTGAGTGAAATTTTCAGCGAAAATACTTATACCAAAAATTACAAACATTTATATCAACTTTCCAACATAAACAAACTTCCAAATTTTAAATTATACTTTATCAGAAAGACCAATGAACTACGACACCGTTACAATAAACCAGTTCCTTCTGAATGTGGAGCAATTATCGTAGCAAAATCTGGTATTCCAGAACCATTTGGCATATGTGTTTTTGTGAATGATTTACCTAATGATGTACCAACACTCATATCTGAACAAATTATCACAACATATTGATCCTATGGTATTTTCTATATTATTTCCATCAGGGGATTCAGGCTGAAGCATTGGTATTAACAAAAAACCTCATGATATTGATGGTAAAAAATTAGCAATTTCACAATATTCTTCATAAAAATTATCTTACAGATTAAAAAATAACAAGTTTAGTTGCTTATAACTCGTGGAAAGATTAAATCAACAATTTTTTTTACATGCATACATTATAATAGAAAATAATCGCATGAATTTTTTTAAAAACAATTAAAAGCAGTTACAAATGTAGTATTACTAAGAATTATTAAATAATATTCATAACAATGCATTAAATATTTCACAAAATTTTAAAGATAAACAAAAAATAGAAAATCTTTTTATTTTACTAGCAACTTACATTGGCGATACATGCAACAACATTATCACAATTCAATGGCTACAATGCAAAAATGTTTAAACCAGATTTATTTATTACATTTACTTGTAACTCAAAATGGAAAGAGATACAGATTGTTTTACAAAGTTTTCCGAAAGCACCAACTTCAAGTGATAACCCAAACATCACTGACAGATTATTTTAATCAAAATTACAATTAATTTCAAATGACATCAAAATAAAAAAAAATTTTGGAATTACTATTGCATGTATGTGTACAACAGAATCTCAAGAAAGAGGTTTGCCTCATGCTCACATTATAGTAACGCTTTATCTGAAAAACAAATAGTATACTGATAAAAATGAAGATCAATACATTACTGCTGAAATACCAACGCATAAAAAAATTTTGAAAAAACTTGTGATTGAACATATGCTACAAGGTCCTTACACTGCAAAAAGTCCTTGTTAAAAATAGATTCAAATGATTGTAAAAAAGGCGTCCCAAAACCTTTTAATAATAATCCTTCATTTGTGGATTATGGTTATTCACATTACAGAAGTCGAAATAATACTTCAGATAAAATTTTTTTCAAAAGTAAAAATTACAATACAAAAATTCTAGTTAACAATTCTATGGTAGGTCCATTTAACAGATATTTGTTAAAAAAATATCAACGTCACACAAACGTTGAATACTTGCTTTATTTAACAGCATAAAGTATATTTATGACTATATACTATAAGGCAGCAATAAAGCATACGTAAAAATGGAAAAATTGATCCAAATAATAGTGATAGATATAATGGAATTAATTTTATATAAAATTACATAATTCGTTGACGGTCAATATTTAAGTCCAATGGAAGCAGCATGGCAAATACAAGAGTTTCCACTTACAGGCATGAGTTATACTGTAATACGAGTAGCAGTTTACACTGAAAATCAACAAAAAATGATTTTTGAACATAACGATACTGACCAAGAAGTCTTAACACTTACTACTTAGTTTGATTTGAATAAGATATACAAATTTGCCAAAACTATTGAATACGTTAACATTTCACAATGTAACATTTTGGATAATTTAACTTAATCATGGAAAAACGTAAGAATAATAGAACAAATGTTGCTACAGAAAAACCGAATATTGTATCTCCAAAAGACCAAAGTTTTTATTTTAAAATTTATTATAAACCGTGTTGAAGGTACAACATCATTCGAAGATTTGCGAAATTTCAAAGGAATTCTGTATAATTACTATAAAGATACAGCAAGTAACATGGGGATTAATAGAAAACAACCTTTAAATTTT